CTAAGACCCGGTATAATACCAGGTCTTCGTAAGGTCGACCCAGCATTGAGATCAAGCCAAGCTCTATTAAAACCAGTTTCGTATGTGGTATATATGTAGATCGGCGAAAAAACTTTAATACCGCGTTTTAGGACTTTCGTAGAAAACGCTACGGGCGTAGCTTCTTCTACGAAGGTCTTCTTACAATCTTACCTTCATGGCGTAGCAAGTTTGATCCCCTCGATGTAGCACCAACATGATACTATCGGCCAGTACTGCTAAGACCCGGTATAATACCAGGTCTTCGTAAGGCCGTCGCAGCATTGAGACGGGGAGAGGGCAGTGCAGGCGGGGGGTAGGCGAGCGCGGGGGGAGCAACTGGAAGGAGAAAAAAAACAAACTAATATTATAAATTCGATAATCAGACAGAGTTTGTCTCCTACACTTTTACGCTAAGCCACTGAACCAATTGTGATGTTTGGCACAGATATTGCTCGCACACCAAGAACCAGCATTTCACAATTGGGTGCGAAATGCAGATGTAAAATACTACAAATATCACTCCTATGTCCCTTGCGGGGTAGGCAGATCGTAAACGGATGTTTAATTTAAACATTTAACAAAAGTTCGACAGTCATTCAGAAGACTGTGTATCAACATAGTGATAAGTTGTCAGCCTGTCGCTTAAAATTGCAATATAACTCTCAAATCCTTTACTCTCTCAAAGTCTCTTCTTACGATTCCCACGGGAAAGATATGGGGTGATGCTATTCTAATCCGGCACCACACGGCGGCACCATATGTTAAATACTAACACTGATTAAGGGTTTTTACGACTAGTTGATCAAAGTTGTTCAGTTTCTGACACTCTAAAACCCAATCTTTCTATACAATAAAATTCGTGATATCAAAATACTTACGCTATGTTCAGCATTACACAGATAGCTTCAGCGTATGACAAATACTTATTTTGTCTTTTCTTTGATCCCTCAATAGGGGAAGGCCAATGTCCAACAGTGGACTGTTATAATATTATAAATAACTATAGATGATGACGATTATACTTACGCTTTGTTCAGCATTACACAGATGATTCTTGTAAATAGCTTCAGCGTATGACAAATACTTATTTTGTCTTTTCTTTGATCCCTCAATAGGGGAAGGCCAATGTCCAACAGTGGACTGTTATAATATTATAAATAACTATAGATGATGACGATTATACTTACGCTTTGTTCAGCATTACATAGATGGTTCTTGTAGATTGCTTCAGCGTATGACAAATACTTATTTGTTTTCTCTTTAATCAAAGCGCGCCTTTGGTGGTCCGAGTCCACTGAAAATTAAATTAAGAATTACTGTTAATAACAAGCAGATGTACTAAAAAACAAAAAACCCGGGTAATTTCAAAGTTATACAGGGTGTAAGGGAGGGTGTACCGAAAACTTTGCAGGCATGGTCAGACCATGAACTGAACAACTTTTACTATGGAGCCAATGGTGGGAAACGAGAAAAATTTTCCGACATCCCATACAAAATTTACGATCAGCTGACTGACTTTGTATGGAAAGTCAATGTTTTTTTTGTTTGACACCATACGTTCCATGGGAAAAATCGTACAGTTTCAAGGTCTGGGCACGCCTGCAAAGTTTTTGTTACACCGTCCTTTACACCCCGTATTTTGCGATAAAAATACGTCATCTTGAATTTATTAATTTTTAAGATGGCCAGTGTCACTCGCGCTGCTGAGACTAATCTAACGACACCTCACATGTCTAGATCCGCCCAGCCATTTGGGCTGTAGCCCGTAAAAACTAATTTCTTGTCTACATACATAAAACTCTCCATAGACATAACCCTCCTTAGGCAGTAGGGTAAAAAGCTAAGTAGATTTTTATGTATAAGGTAAAAAATTATGAATTCAATAAAAATATTTTTGGGTCAGTTTTGTTCGTGAATTTGAACATTCCTTTAGAACATAGGCTTTGTTGTTTGTAAGTACCTGTGTATAATTGAACTTAATATTTACTACAGGTACCTACTTAACTTAATACGATTAGTTGATTGGTTAACGAGCACACTTCACTTATTATCATGAAATGAATCACAAAATCAAGTTATGATTCATAAAATAAACCTTGCATAACCATAACCAACCATAACAGCCACAACAGTCCACTGCTGGACATGGGCCTCCCCCTATCGGGGGGTATTGCCATACTCACCACGCTTGACAGGCGGATTGGCGAGCGCAGTGCATGATGTTGCATTGACGGGGAACGCTGCTGCCCATTCCCTGGATAAATATCCCTTAGTCGCTTTTTACGACACCCACGGGTAGAATTGGGGTAATGCTATTCTAAGCCGGCATCACACGGCAACGGAACCTTGCATAATAATATCAATATACATTAAAGTTTTTAATAGATAGAAAATTTTGCTCATAGCATATATTACATATTATTTTTCCCAAAATTTCATTTCAAAAATATCTTACTCATTTGAATTTTGGTATTCTGATTTTCCTCGCGATTATTCTCATCATATTCTTGAAAATACTCCACTAAGTTCACGAAATCCATTTTGAATAACCAATATAATTATTTTCAATGCACTTTCCTTCTATTGTATACTTGCAAGTTTTGTAACACTTCTATTTTCAACTTTTACTACAGTACGCGAATGAGTTCTTGGCCATCGGGGAATGAGGAGGCGCGCGGGGGCGGCGCGCCCCGATGTTACCCACCTACCCGCATTCGCCCGCAGTCGAGTGATGGGAAAAAAGTGTGTCACAAAGTTGTCGATATTTTGTCGTTGTGTTGTGTTTTGTGTAGAAACCATAAATACGTCTTTAATATTATTCACAAACAGTGAAGTTACAGTTCGAACAAACTATGGCTAAAAAGGCCCCTTTAATAAGCAAATGTCTCGAGACATATACATTTTAGTTACTTTGTTTTAAAGAAACCTGCCCTTAGTTTATAAAGACCTACTCAACGATACCCCACCTACTCAATAATGTAGGAAAAACAACCCATTAACTAATAACTATGAGTAGTCTGAACTGAACTGTTCGGCAACAATTCTCGATATCGACATCAACATGAATTAGTCACAGCACTACCGCATTCCTCAACATGGTCATGCACTCATTCGCGTACTGTACTTGATTATTTTGATAAGCCAGAAATAGTTTTCTGCTACATATAAGGTGTAAAAAAATCAACTGCAAATATTTTAAGGAGGAACCAGCCCGTGAAACTGAACAACTTTCCCCAAGGAACATAGGTCGAAATATGAAAAAAAAATTTGGACCTCCCATACAAAATGTACCAGCCGGCCGAGTCAATTTGTATGGGATTCACCCCTTAAAATATTTGCAGTTGATTTTTTTACATCCTGTATACAGCGTGTTTAGAAAACATACTGCGTATTATTTATCAATCCATAATAGAAAAAAACATAGGTCAAATATGAAAGATATTGTGCACTTCCCATACAATTTGTTGTATCTAAAATTCTGTCAAGCGTTTTTTTTTGACAGCTGACTTGTGAATAGAACTTTTCTTTTGTCCTTTTCACGCTAATTTAGATTCCTATATGGCATCCTACTGCCAAAAAGCAAATAAATAGTTGGAAAAATTATACTTTTCCTAACACTCTGTATATTTACGTAAGATTTTACGTCATTCATAAAACTCTAAAACCGTTACTATACCACACAACCATACAATACAAATATTTATACAAAACTGACTTTACAAGCTTTATTTTATCATTTTAACCAATAAATCGTAGGGTTATCGCCAGTTTTAGCCTATCTGGGTTAACTACTTAGTATTTAGAAGATTGTGGGAATCTGTCGAGATAAAATAAGTATCTACTAAGAATATATTTTATCAAAGTAGGTTATCCAAGTGATAAAATGTTTGTTTATGTTTTGGTTTCTAAGAAGATAAGTTATGTTTTGCTTGATCTATGCTAAATTGGGTATTTCTTAAGAAATCCTGTGTATTTATTGATATGTGTTCAGATTTGCACTTAAGACATTATGCTGCTTGTGCCATTTTGATCTCAGGACTTTTTTATGCATTGAGATTTGCTGTCATTTTGATATGGTAATTTTGAGAATTAAATATTTTGGTTGGTATTTTGAAATAGGTATGCATATTCTGAACCTAAATGCATTGACTATAACAAATGCACGAATCTATCATAATAAAAAAAAATATAAAAAACATGTATAAAATTACTTACTTTGTACACCAATGAGCATTTTCTCGATCCCCGCCTTATAACACTCAAAAGCCTTAGCATACTCCTTCATATCTTCATACCTTGCCGCCAAATTCAACATGTAACCCGCTTCGAACACATACGAGTCCTCCGTCTTTGTCTTACACTCGATATTCGCTACGTTAGAAAGAGATAGCACACTATTCACTGACACTCGCGAACTAGAACGGGTATAGTCTTGACACTTGGCTGAAGTTTTCGAGTCTAAGCTCTGATTGGTCGAGGTGAAGCTCTCTGAAAGCTGATTGGTGGATGCGATCGACGCGCTGTATTGGGAGTTCTGATTGGAGGAAATCGAAGTGGAATCGTCGTTGGTCATTGTGTGGTAGTCGTCGAATTTTGACGTGGACGGCGCGTCGAAATTGATCAAATCGGGTAGGACGATTTTTTTGATCATCGGCGATGTTTTTGGTACCGTCACCTGGAAGAAAGAACAAGATATATTTAATTTAAAGTCTACTACTAGAAAGTTACACCATAAGTCTTATGTTTGCATGCATTAATATAATTTTGACAGCTGTCAAAAATGATTCAAACGGCCGTACTGTAAATGAGAGATCTTGAATGACGTTAAATACCAAATTTTACAAGGTGTATACCTTTAACCTTGTAAAATTTGGTATTTAACGTTAGGTATACAATTTTTAAAACTGTCCCAGTAGCAACCCAGTAGGTAGATGGAGCCCTGCCACGCGTTAGTGGCCAAGATACACTTGCACTATTGAACCGCGGTAGCCCTGTTGGTAGTGGCGTCAGCAGTACAGATGCCGAAGGTCGCAGGTTTAAACCCAGCCTGTGGTGGAAAATTTGGAAATTTTTCGAAAATATCTTGAGTGACGGGTTGGAATGCACTAGATCCAAATGAAGAAGAAAAAAGAAGTGGGTCGCAAGGTTTTAGATTGGGGAGTAGAAAAGTTGTAGAAACGCAAATCGGAGGTTCTAGAGTGGATTAGAAAGTTTAGAGAGAAAACTTGGAAACTTCTAGATGGGAAATTTGTAGATTTGTGGGCAGGACTTAGAGTGGCTTACCTTATCCAGTTCACTATACAAATCGCTGCCAATACTATCCAACGAGTCAATGCTGTGAAAGCTATCAGCCCGAGACATCATAGGCGACACCCTCTTTTCTATATCGTGGGATGAGTAGATCGGGATTTGGGATATGAAGTCGGGTTCGTCGCGAGATTCCGGTGGTTTGGCTGAAAATCGAAAATAAGTTTGATTAATCGATTAGAATATGGACAGTATTTGCACACATCACACATATATATGGTTACATTTAACTAAGTACAAATCTCTTAAGGGTGTGATTTACTCACAAAACTGAACAAATTTTGTTAGAAACTTGTCTTCGAAATATGAAAAAGGACCTCTCATACTAAGTGACACACTTTTTCAACATTTTTGTATGGGAGGCCCGATTTTTTTTTAAATTTTTCGATGGAAAGTTTCTACCAAAAGTTGTTCAGTTTTGTGAGTAGATCACACCCTCAAGAGATTTGTACTTAATTAAATGTAATGTATAGGCAGAGTATAAATAGGTGGTAATAAAGAGGCGTTATTGTCGTGTTAAACTATTTAAGCATTGAAAATTGTATACCAAAACAAAAGAAACAAACAAAATATCATCTTCGTGCCCTGATCCCAAATCACTGCGGTCGGCCACAACATATTTTGTTAGAGCACAATGTCATGTAGCAAAAGTATTTGGCAATGTTTTATTCGCGGCCGCCTGGTTGACGTCAACCCCTTTTTAGGGTTTCGTAGTCTACTAGAAACCCTTATAGTTTCGTCATGTCTGTATGTCTGTCTGTCTGTCTGTCTGTATGCCGCGCCCTCATATCTTCGTCAGTTTTAGAGCTATCGACATGAAATTTGGTGAGAAGATAGATCGTGTTGACCCAAATATAGAAATGTTAAGAAAAAATTATATTAAATATTTTTTGGACCCCCTCCCATACAAGTGAAAGGGGGCAAAATTTTTTTCTTCTGTAATATTGAGTAGGGTATCGTTGAATAGGTCTTTTAAAACTAAAGTGAGGTTTCTTTGAAACAAAGTCACTAAAATGTTTCTGTCACGAGATATTTGCTTTTAAAAAGGGCGTTTTTGACCCATAATTTGTTCCAGTTGTAACTTCTAAAGTATAAACGCTAAAAATTTGAAATAAATATGGAATATAGCTTACAATCTGAAATTACAATGAAAACTGTAACGGATATTGTACCCTTAAAGGTTTCAGAAAAAAAACAGTTTTTCTATTTGCGGTTGGTCATCATACTGCTGCTAACAAACCAGCAACAAAATTAAGTTTGTAATGCTGAAAAACCTGATATTTATACGTTGACTACGAAACCCTATTTGTGGGCGTGTCTGACACGCTCTTGGCCGGTTTTTTTGGAGATGCTATTGTAGGCGATATCACCGCCACCATGCGGTTGACCATAGTCGACAGATATTCATTCGAGGTCAAAAACTCTACGTCGCCTTTTACGAAACACCCTGAGTGGACTAGGGGTGGCAGTATCGCCAGCCGCTACCACACGGCAAAGATTATAATGACAAAACCCTTCGAGATAGCTGTTACCTAACAGGAATTGAACCTATGACCTGTTACCTGAATGCTGTGGACTCCTGGAGTCATCATCGGACGTCTGGTACTCCAGCGGTGGTGTTTCTTCAATCGGTAGATGCAGAGAGGTTCGTATGGAGTTTATGACACCACTTGATGATGTTTCAGGCTCTGGGTAGCCCGTCTGAAACATAGAAGCAGTTGTATAAACGGTGGGTTTAAGGAAAGTATATACCCTTACAACAAAAAAGTTAGACGAGTGTTGAACGCGTGTTTAAGGGCGCTACGTACCGAGCCCGTATTCGTGACGTGCAAGTAGTCACGACGTCATTACGCGCGTAGAGATGACGTTGTATCGTGGGGGGATTGTATGAGACACCACACAGACTCTCGAGAATTGTCGCAAAACACTCGTGAGATCGATACATATATACATCACGCCTCTTTCCCGGAGGGGTAGGCAGAGACTACGTCCTTCCACTTGCTACAATTCTGACACACCTCTTTCGGTTCTTCAACATTCAACAATCTTTTCATGCACGCTCGTCGGTTTAGGTTACTCTTGTACTGTACCTTTCTTTAAAACATCTCCGATTTGATCTAGGTACGTTCGTCTAGGTCTTCCCCTTCTAATATTCCCATCCACACTCGCCACATATACTTGTTTCGTTAATCTTCTTTCATTCGTCCTCTCAACGTGACCAAACCATCTAAGCATTCCTCGAATGATCGATGCCTCGCAGGTTCGCATTCATAGTCCATCTAGACTATAATGTTGTTTGGACACTTCCATACCTGATGATCCGAAATTAAGGAGAAACAACCAGGACCTGTCACAATCCGTACTTCGGCACTCATCGCTTCAGCTTAAATGCTTAGGGTGTAACTAAATCGTGATAAGTGAATTAAGAATGTGGTGTGTTTGTATCATCGTCGTGTTGTGTACACACCTGTAGGAAGTTTACGAAATCCGTGCTCGTAAACAGTAGCTTGTGTTCGGCGATGAATTCTAATACTGACTTTATAACTTTGGCACGCTCCTCTATCACCTGAAAATATACAATTAAATTGAAATAAACATCAAGTAGTTTTGCCTACAAACCAACTTCATGGCAGAGAAAGTTCTGAAAGTGTAAGAAATTAGTTTTGACGGTGTTTTTGTAAATTTATGTAGAAATGGATGATCCTATGCTATTTAACTTAAGCATTATGGTATGAATAATATAATTAATAGTACCTGTTGCAAGTATAACTCGTTTTACTTGTGGTTAGAATTTCAAGATGTTGTAACAAGATACGTCTAGCTCGCTTTACTTACAATATGTGTATGTAGCATACCTACTTACTTATTTACTTACAACTACTACTACAACTGCATCAAAGCTAAGCATGAGACAAAAACGATCTAACTGAAAATTTCACTAGTGAATTTCATCCTACACTGGGTGAAAATTTACTACTGACCAGAGTTTCACCCTATACTACTACTTCAACCATGTAACAAACTACAATCTAGGATTATAATTTTTATGACTACAATCTATCTAATGAAAAGTCAACAAATATGTAAAACTGTTATTAACCTTAACATTGGTAACTCGTTTTCTGATAAGCGTGGTCAATGAGAATGTGTTCGATTGGTATAGGTACCTCTTTCTGGAACCGCTTAAAGTAACTGAACTTGACTATAGTACCGTCATTCGAATAGGCCATACTTGACAGCTGTCAAAATAATGTTAATGCTATGACATAAGGTCTATTTTTCTTTGTTGACATGTTTCCTAGTGTGGGTTTAACAGCTGTCAAATATGGCCTATTCACCATACTATAGTGAAAATTCACCCTTCGCTTTGTTATAAATTCTACTTCACCAAAGCTATTACCATAAAACAAACTATCTACAATCTAGGATTATAATTTTTATGACTAGGTACAATCTTGCTACGATCTAACTATCTCAATGGAAAAACAAATACGTAAAAACTCTCAATAACCTTAACATTCGTAACTCGTTTTCTGATAAGCGTGGTCAATGTGAAAGTGTTCGATTGGTATACCTCTTGGTGGAAGCGCTTGAAGTAGCTGAACTTCGGCAGTACAGGAAATGTTCCTCGCAAATGCAGTCCGGCGTGGAGGGACTTCATAGACGTGTGGAGTTTCTGTATGTCGCTGTAGCGCTTCCATACGGAGATCACGGTTATTGTTTCCGGTGATTCTATTGGGAAGAGCTGGAAAGAAAAAGCGTTGTTACTTACTAAAGTAAACCCTGGTTTTTGTGTAGGCAGATTTAGATCCTAATATTAAAACAATTAAAAGAATGAAGAGAGCATACATTGTTACTGACGTTTATTATTATGGACTTACTTAAAATTTATCTTATCAATAAGTAAGTACCTAACTTATCAATCCGTATTTCTATTTCCTGTGTAACTTAAATTGCAAAATAGATTACTTAGCCAAACTTTATTCTAATAACACCTACCTACTGAATTACTATTACCATTCCATATTTTAGTCACAACAGTCAGATGTATTTCAATATGTATATTTTAATTTGGCTGTAGTATATTAATTGAGAATACATATCAACATAAATGATGTTTAAGTACTATACTATGTAGCATAGTATCTTCTTTTATTCCAGACACTAATACAAATACAAAATCATTTATTCAATGTTGGATACAAAAAATATCACTTATTGATAGTCATTACAAAAATATTGCGGTCCTAGTATAGACTCGGCTCGGGCGGGATAAAAAAATAATAATAAAGGCACTGCCTCGGGGCTGGCCAGGCTAACCACACAGCATGTAAATAGAATGAAATTTAGATAACTTAAAAGAAACGTTACATGCATATAATTAGCCGGACCCCCTGGACAGGAAAACCCCCCAAAAACCTGCCGAGAAGTGCTCCTATTCTAAATTTACAATCGATTTGACCCTAAGCTACCCTAGCTAAGTTTTAAAAAGAATTAAACAGTAAAAAGCCAAAAACGGCTGAATCAATAATGTTATATCACTTGTGTTAATATAAACATTGTGCAACAATCGTGACTCATTTTCAAAATAACTTAGTAGGTACTAAAATTCCTAGTTTACAATCCGCAAGACTTAGTTTACAATAACAACTACTTAGATATTTTAATTAAAACCAAGAACCATAAGTTATACACACTTTTAGTTATATCATCATTAAAGGCTAATGAATGGCCTCTGATGTAGCATT